CGTCTTTTGAGTATAGAATCCAGAGGTTAGCAGTGAATATTTCGAAGACAGTAGGAAAGCGTTGTTCAGGTTAGCAGTGGATATTTTGGTAAAAGTAGGTTGTTTATGATGACGGTCGTCTTTGAGTATAGAATCCAGAGGTTAGCAGTGAATATTTCGAAGACAGTAGGAAAGCGTAGTTCAGGTTAGCAGTGGATATTTTGGCAGAGCATATTTTGTCCTTCTGTTTCTCTTCGCCTGACAAGCTGGACTGGACATTCGGGTAGAGTAGACAAAAATGGCCGCCTTTATACACGACGGATTGAATATTCTACGTCTTCTGATTGGTTAACCTTCTATTGGTGGAGTATAAAGTGAGTCAAGTCATTTGGGCTAACTCACTAGTACATAGTACACACAAAAAACTGCAATACGTATTCCAGTCAGATCCATTGCATTCACTTACGTGCGAACGTAATGGATTCATATCTTTCCCCCTTTGGAAAATGTATGAACCCTTTTGTTCTCATCCCCCACCCCCATCTATGGGTAAATATCAGGACAGGTTGGGTTCTATAGGCTTAGTTGGCAACCAGTCTAAGAGAAGGTGACTCTGAATTCAAATCACCTTGGTTGCTCCGTCAGGCTATCTTGCCCAAGAAACAACATTTCTACAGCGATGCCTCTACAACCCTTATATGGCACGATATTGTGCGAGGTTTATCATTTGTTTTCTGTTTCACCCTAAAACTATAAATCAATTAAAGTTACACCACCACTAACGATGGGTATATCATAGCCGATTTTGAAAATATCAAAAGAAATATTAAATATAAATCTTTATTTGAAATATTTTACATGCAGGCACTTCAAACTTTGTACTTTGAGTTAACAATAATAGGAACTGGAAAACATTATTTAGGTAATCAAATCAGATACTGAAAACCTCTATTTATAAAAGGCAGGATGTGTGTGTGTGTGTGTGTGTGTGTGTGTGTGTGTGTGTGTGTGTGTGTGTGTGTGTGTGTGTGTGTGTGTAACGAATGGCCACAATTTTGACGGATTTGCACCATAATTTACATGCACTAGTTAGCGGGAAGTCCAAGACCGACTTTGCATATTGGAAATAATCGATTTTTTCATACTTCTACGGCAGTTTTCATGTAGTTTTCGGCCATTTTCTACTGGCCAGAGTGAGAGCCTAGAGCTGTCTGTCACGAATAGGCAGGAAGATTCTATTGGCCAGCATGAGAGCCAACAGCTGACTGGCACGAATGTTAACTAGCATGCAAAAAAATCGATAGCTGCATTCGTCACAAGTGGGAAAAATTGAAATCTGCATGGCACTTTACTCCAATTGGCTCATTCGCTTGCTTAAACTCAACGTTGATTTTGATTCCGCAGAACTGGGTTGGGTGTGAAAAAGTATTTGTTGTTAACATTCTTTTTTCATTCGGTTTTTCCAGTTACGAGTCCTTTTTTAAAGCTGATCGTTTTGTGTTCATTTTGTTTAGTTCTTTTTTTCGTAAGAGATTTAACGTTTAGTATAGAGCTTAGAAAAAATTCTCAGTGTGAGATAGGCAAGAAGTAAGGCATGTAGCAACATCAGCACGGCAAAGGGCACTATTTTAAAGGCAAGGAAGGGCAAAAATATTTTAAGTCAAGTGATAGCGATTGCTGTATGACTCGTACAATTTTTGAATCAAGCACGGGCAACGCCGGGCCATGCTGCTAGTTGTAATTAAAAATAAGATAATTTGCGTTAGGTACTATATACCCGAGGTTAGTGTTCTAGGTTTAAGAGTTGGTTTCTGGTTCCTTCTAAAGTCGTCTCATCATCTTTTACTCACAGTAACCACTTGCGTCTTAGTGGCATTATCCCCTTGCTTGAGAGAAAACAACTCTGTGAATGATATCGACAACACAGGTTAGTTAGTTATCTTAATAGGCATTTATTAAGCACGGCTTATTATTGGGGGATATTTTGTTGCTAGACATGTGGGAAGCATATTTAGTAGCGAGCTCAGTTCAGTGGTCTGTGAGACTAACTCGTTAAGCATGTTAGCGTTAATCCACGCCCGAAATCACTTTCAGGAAGCGTGTTTCTCATCACAAAGCCGGAAGGGTTGCACGTGGCGTGCAAGTCCTGGTATTGTATTACAGCAATTGTTTCAACGGACCCATCAGGAAACTGCTAATGAATGCAAATTTAATTAATTTTCCTAATTCTCATTTGGTTCTTGTTTCTCTTACTGCAGCTTGACTAGTGAGGCACAGGACCACACTGTTTCATTTGCTTTGTTTTACGGCATATCAACACCTCAATGGGTTATTTAATGCCGGTAACATTTTTATGGCTGTAATATTTTTTTTCAAAAATGTACTGTTGGTACTATTTTTCTTCAAAAATATATTGCTGGCAATATTTTTCCTTAAAATATGTAATGATGGTAATATTTTTCCTTCCAAAATGTATTGTTGGTAATATTTTTTTCTTCTAAAATGTATTGCTGGTAAAAATTTTTTCTTCAAATATTTATTGCTGGTAATATTTTTTTTCTTCTAAAATGTATTGCTGGTAATATTTTTTCTTGAAATAAAAATTGCTGGTAATATTTTTTTCATAAAAATGTATTGTTGGTAATATTTTTTTCTTCTAAAATGTATTGCTGGTAAAAATTTTTTTTCAAATATTTATTGCTGGTAATATTTTTTCTTTCTAAAATGTATTGCTGGTAATATTTTTTCTTGAAATAAAAATTGCTGGTAATATTTTTTTCATAAAAATGTATTGCTGGTAATATTTTTTTCTTCTAAAATGTATTGCTGGTAAAAATTTTTTCTTCAAATATTTATTGCTGGTAATATTTTTTTTCTTCTAAAATGTATTGCTGGTAAAAATTTTTCTTGAAATAAAATTGCTGGTAATATTTTTTTCATAAAAATGTATTGTTGGTAATATTTTTCATAAAAAATGTATTGCTGGTAATATTTTTTCTTCTAAAATGTATTGTTGGTAAAAAAATTTCCTTAGAATAAGGATTTCTGGTAATATTTTTTCATAAAAAAATGTATTGTTGGTAATATTTTTCCTTAAAATATGTATGGCTGGTAATATTATTTCAATCAAAAATTTATTACTGGAAATAATTTTTCCTTAAAATATGTATTGCTGGTAATATTATTTTTCTTCAAAAATGTATTGCTGGTAATATTTTCTGTTAAAATATCTATTGCTGGTAATTTTTTTCCCTTAAAATATGTGTGGCTTGTAATTTTTTTCAAAAAGATATTGCTGGTAATAATGTATTGTTGGTAATAATTTTATACAAAATTGAGTTGATGGTATAAAAATCTATTTTTACATTTTCATATTGTGTTTTGACCCGAGTTTGAGGGTAAACTATTTGCCCATAGCTGGGACCCTAACAGATGCTACCACCCCGGGTCCAGGTGAATCTGGGAACAACAGAAATTAAGAGGCGGTTCCACGATCCTCAAAACCTCTTGATCAGAGGCTTTGCTGCTGGACGTAGTTTATCGTCTAACTCAGGACTCCTAATTTGGGCGTTCTTACCTCTCTGCAGAGGTTTAATTTGCGGCTTCTAAAGCCCCAGCCGACAAGGCAGCATGGCCACACGTGTCGCACACCCAGTGAGGAAGGAAATAGACGCCCAATGTAAATTAATAAACAGACTCGATTGCGAAAAATTAACCTGCGACGAAGCCTCTTATTCATTATTCATTTTTTTTTCTCCTAAATTAAAAAAAAAAATCACTCCAAGCAAGGCGGAAATGCAACTAGTATGCTGGGGAGGGTACAGGGTGTGAAAAAAGATGTATTCTCATATATGGCAATGTATGCTGGAAAATTTCCTCAAAGATTGAAGGTTTTGAGGAGCATGAAACAACCTTTTAACTGATGGTGTTCCCGGGCCCACTCTAACCCGGGGTGGTAGCACCGGTTAGGGTCCTATCTATGGTTAAAAGTCAACGGTACATATTTATAATAAAATCACCAAAAATACATTTTTCATAGTAAAACGAAAAATCAAAACAACATTAAAAAGTATAAAAATAGTTGTATAGAACAATTTCCAGCAATACATTTTTATAAAAGATAAAAAAATTACCAACAATACACTTTATTATCTGCAAAATATTTATCTAAAAAACATACGTCTACTCTGAAAGTAATAAACTGTGTACGAAACATTAAGTTCAAACGATAAAATTATATATAAAATATTTAGATTTCGCATTAAATAACCCATAGTTATGCTGAGGTGTCTCTAAACAAAATCAACCAACAAATGAGCCGTAGTAAAAGAAACTAGCTGAAAACTTATGCCTTTTTCGATATATGCAAGAGAAAGTTCAGGCTAAAAATGGAATATTGCTGTCATGTCTGGACTGGCAATCCTCATCATTTAAACTTGACAGACTCCAAAAGCGTCTTAGCGTCCTTGTGGGGGATTACTTAATTTCCACTCTACAAACCGCTTCCCATGCAACGTATATATGGCTCGAATCATCCTAGTGCTATCCGTATTCCATTAGTAATGAGGAAGTTCCATTTAGACAGTTTCTTCCTAAGAACCGCTACTTTGTGGAACAGATGATACTTCCCTGATCACTACGATGGTAGTCTTCAAGAGGCTTTTGGGCTTTGTATTGAGTAAATATTCTTAAATAAAAATGAGACACTGGCAAGGATAGTTAAGGGAGAAATATTCCGTTATCTACTTTTAACAACCACATCTATTGTCTCTCTACATTGAGTGACTCTTGGGCCTTTTAGTGGGTGAACATTTGTATAAAAAACGGAAAGAGGGTCGGGCAAGGTTATTTAGTTGAAAAATGTTGCTTACTGCTATACAGTATAGGAAGTTGTGGAGAGCCATGTTGCGAAAAAGCTACATAAAAAAGGAATATCTTTAACAAGGTAAAAGAATTTTAAGTCGGGATTGTTCAACTGCTATCTCTGACGGTTGACCCAATAAATTACGTAAATGAATGGCTTGTGGCCGTATCAAGTTGAAACTCCGGTTCCCGTACGATCACCAAAGTTAAGAAACGTCAAGCCTGGTCAGTATCGAGATGGGCGATTGCTTGGGAATGCCAAGTGCTGTAAGCTTGGATGTGAGGATGGTGTAATAGATAATTGCTCGGTATTGTTAATCGGAGAGCGGAGTTCCAATTCCACTTGGGTTCGTCATATTCACTTACGTTCAAATACCCTTAGGGAAGGCATGAATCCATCAATTCTCCTCACCCAGTTATGGGTGACTTAGTATGATTTATATCACCAAATAATTATTATCTTTAAAAAAAAAATCTTACAATCTAAAAATATGCTCTGGCTTTAAATAACCTACAAAGGGTCGATAAACCGAGAAAACAAATCAGTCATTCATATTTGCCTTTTGCTTGTTCACTCCATTTTATTCTTTCTTGCTTTCTTTCTTTCAATATATTTGATTTTTATAAGGAATTATTTGATTTCCGTTAAAGAGGCTTACTTATTGATTATTATTAGATTAAAATTAATCATTAAAATTCAGTATATCTGGACTTCCTTTCGTACGATGTGTCGTAACGCGATTTTCCGTGTAATTCGGAACATACAGACGATATTCCGTGAATAAGCACTTACATCACTCAAGTGAGCTATATTAAAAGATATTTTTTATTATTTGAATTCTCTTAAAGAGGCCAAATTGTTGATTATTATTCGATTAAAATTAATCAGTATAAATTCAGAAGATCCTGGACTTCTTTTCCTACGATGTGTCGTAACGCGATTTTCCGTATAATTCGGAACATTCAGGCGATATTTTTGAATAAGCACTTACATCACTCAACTGTGCTATATTAAAAGACATTATTTATTATTTGAATTCTCTTAAAGAGGCCAAATTTTTGATTATTATTAGATTAAAATTAATCAGTATAAATTCAGAAGATCCTGGACTTTTTTTCGTACGATGTGTCGTAACGCGATTTTGCGTGTAATTCGGAACATTCAGGCGATATTCTGTGAATAGTCACTTTCTTCAGTCAACTAAGCAATAGTAAAAACATAACATATTTCTGTGAAATATCTTAACACAATTAGGACTAAAAACAAGATATAAGGATGACTAAATATAATACATATAATAAAATTAAATTGTTTTAAGCTGTTTCTATATTTATTATCAATAATGACATTACCTGTCTGAAGCTGGGATAACGAAGCGTCTCTCTTGAAGTACTCGGAATATAGCTGCACGTCTGGGGAAGAGAAACAAACTTTAATACCTTTCTTTTTTTGTCAAAAAATCACCAACTTATATTTTAAACCGAAAATATCCTTATCTCCTACAGGGAAACTCAATATCTATACACATATATACATGTTTTAAGCGAGAGTCGAACGACTTAAGCCAAGTAGATTGTTTAACAATGTATAATTTCACTGCCAAGACGATGGCTTTTCGTTTTCTTTGAAGCACTATCATCAGAAGTATTTACACTACGCTTGGGAGCCATACCGAAAAACAACGTTTCCACAAACACAACACAAATGAAAGAGAGCGAATGTACAACAATTCAATATGGCGGACAACCAGGAACTGACCCATGCTCGCATTATACACGAGGCAAACGGTATAAATCGGAGCAAAATTAATGGAGATTGCGTCGTAACCACAAATCGTTGCCGGTCGGGACTGTCGTAACTCGGATTCTTACTGTACAGCGTGCTCCGAAAGTCTTGTCACTCCTACATAATATAATTTTCTATTTCAGATGGCTGACAGGAACTCCTACAGTTGGGAAGAGAGGTAGGTGATGAACACCGAGTGCAAAGTCTACTTTGCTATCTCTTTGCTTGAGCATAGCACATATTGGGCCACCACAGATCAACTTCTTTTTGAAGAAACTTTCCTTTCCTTTTCCTTTACTTTCCTTTTCGACATTAAATTCGATTCACACACTCTGGTATTTCCTGAAAAAGAAAAAGAAAACATTTAAGCAAGATGTTATGTTCGTTATATTGCTTTGAATATCGGCAAAATTCTCTATTTTTTTTTCTTTCTTTTATTTAATACAAATTTCTCCGAATGTTTTCTCTTTTTTTTTTTTTTTAGAGTTAGGTTCACCCTTTTCAAGGCCCAGAGGCCACTCGAGGTAGAGGGTTACGTTAGGAGGCCACTGGTGTGTATAGGGAGATATCAGCTAACCCTAGCCTTGAAGAGGTTAAGATTGTAGTGATCGGAAAAACATCCTGTTGGGAGTCGGCTCCACAGATCAGCGTTTCGAGGCAAGAAAATACTAAATTCAGTTTCCAAGGTTACGCTTTGTAATTTCTTAATAAAAATAATGGATGTGAATGGAGGTAAAACAATGTTGAATTAAAACTAGCAATGATACCCAATGTTGGGCGGGCCAAATCAATTTTCTGTATTAAGAATTCGCGGTCATTTCTATGATATATTTGTGCAAATTAATGTATTGACATTTTTAGGACAGATAATGAGGAAAGAGGAATTGGAGAAAATGACACTCACAGGACGCAATGAAGGCAAGAGAGACAGAGGAAACAGGCGAATAATGTACCTAAGGGACTTTGGTAAATGTTTGGCAGAAAAGGGATTAGGAATAATAGCAAAAGGACAAACCCTTAGTAAAAGCTACAGAAGACAGGAAACAGTGGAGAACCATGACCACCCACGTTTTGAAGGATCAAGGTAATTTACAAAATGAAAGGGAAGGTACATGCTCTTAACAGTTTTTAATGTACCCGACGTGTACCTTATTTTATCGGTGTCGACATTTGTACCTTATTTTAGCAGACATCGGTGTCGGCATTTGTAGAGTGTTTGTTTAAAATGAATTTTACGAGCCTTTTGTATGTTGGGCGTTGTCATTAGATGCAGACAATATTTCCAGCTAAATTTAGGTTCAAAGGTTACGCATTGTAATTTCTAACAAGTATATATATATAAACAGAGGTAAAACGATGTTGAATTAAAACTAGCAATAATACCCAACATTGGGCGGGCCAAATCAATTTTCTTTGTTCAGTAGGGATACGCGGTCATTTCGTCGAAATATTTGTGAAAAATGGTGTTGAAAAAATTCGAATTAATGCGTTTCGCTTGGTTTAAACATTTTGATAGGTGTTTATTCGGAAATTGGTATGCTATAATATTAGAATGTGTTCTAATATATTATTGCAATAGTTGCACAAAAATATATTACTCATTCCTAATGATAAATGTGTCCTCTTTGTTACTTTTATAATAATCCCTTTTAGAATGTTGTTCTCAAATATGTGACGCACTTTTTGCATACACTAGAAAATAGAAAAACAATGTCCGATTATAGAACAACGCTTTTAATTGTGTTTTAATATATTATTATAATAATTGTACAAAAATATATTACTCATTCCTAATTAGAAAAGTGTTCTTTTTGTTAATTTTATATCAATCTCTTTCAGAATTTAAATTAGTAGAATTTTTGCAACACTCTGACGCGCGTTTAAATCTCGCATATTCTAATATTGTTGAAATTATCGCTAACATTTGTTGACGAGATTTACAAACTGTACGTATCTTTCAATTTCCAGGTAATTTGAATAAGCTGATATGTTTGGAAAAATAATTTGACAAAAACCTTATATCGCGGTTTAATAATTTCTTTTATTTAATTTAATTTGTGTAGAACTTCATGGTAAGAAAAAATATTTTTTGTATATATATATATATATATATATATATATGTATGTATGTATGTATAAAGATGAAAAGATGTATGTATGTATGAAGATGAAAAGACAATATGCATTTATATTAAATAAGTATTTGCTATTTTAATCATTAAATTGTTTTTAAAATACTGCAAGTATTTTGTATGTTAAATAATATTTTTTTATTTTCCAAAAATGATGAACATTTATTGTAGTAAGCTTATTATTAAAAGAAATACATTTTTCTCTGATGATGGTCGCGAGACTGGAAACAGGTGTAGCAAAATTATGGAAAATTAAAGCATAAAATATTTTTTAAATTTTTTAAACAAAAACGTTTGCGTTTTCTCTCTTTTTTTATATACACACATTTCTCTCGTTGGAACTATTAAAACCTTTTCCCTTCATATATATATATATATATATATATAATTATGAAATGTACAAAGTCCCACAATTATTTTAAGACATTTTTTTTATGTTTATACGTTCTTTTTATAGATACAAATATTTAAGTAAATGCTCTGCTTATATTAAACAGTATTAACATTTTCCGGCCTGAATGTCCGATAAATTTTCATGGCAATTATGCGTCCTCCGAGAGGAATTGAACCTGTATCCTATACGGAACTGTCATATAGCTTGACGTGCTTTTACCTATTGAGCCACAGAGGAGCATTTCGTTTAGAAAGGTCGATTTTACTGTTTTTAAAATTACAATTCACCATTATTTTCTCTCATACATTCATATCTGCTCATTGCCTATCCAAATGTAAACAAATGACGTCACACATTATGAAATGGACAAAGTCCGACAATTATTTTAACACATTGTTATGTTTATACGTTTATACGTCGGAGGATGCATATTTTCTGTGACAATTTCTCGGACGTTCAGGCCGGTAAATGTTGTGTCATACTGTTTATTATAAACAGAGCATTTACTCAAATATTTGTATCTTTAAAAAGAACGTATAAATATAAAAAATGTCTTAATATATATATATATTAAGAAATGGACAAAGTCCGACAATTTATTTATTAAAGACATTTTTATGTTTAACGTTCTTTTTATAGATACAAGTATATAAGTAAATGCTCTGTTTATAATAAACAGTATTAAATAACATTTACCGGCCTGAATGTCCGAGAAATTTTCATAGAAAATCTTTGTCCTTTGACAGGATTCGAACCTGCATCCTATACGAAACCGTCATTTACGCTGACGTGCCTTCGCTGACTCGGCCACAAAGGAGCGTTCGGTAGGCAAAGTCGAATTTACTGCTTATAAACTTCAATCTTCCATGAATCTCGTACATTCATAACTGCTCTGGCGTATCAAATGTAAACAAATGACGTCATATATTAAGAAATGGACAAAGTCCGACAATTTATTTA